GATTATCTTTGTCTGGACTACCACATGACATGATACGACAAGTTTGAGCAACAACTGGTTTTTTTAAGATTCATAAGTGATTTGCAGTGTATCTGCTCTTTTTTTCTTATTTCAATTGAATAATAGGAGGAGCAGCCTGAGTAGATTCGCAGGCCCGCATTGGTGTTTACTTCTAAGCGAATATGTTTCTTCCTGAACCATTAGTTTGTGTTTTTGCCAGCTGGTAGACCTTGGGGTTTTAGTTCGGGAAATTCAACAGTAAATTCTAAAGTGTCAGGTGTGTATGAGAGATCTGGTGATCCAGGTTATGGCAAAATAAAAAGGTGTGCTGCTGGTGGTGGTGTTTCTGGTATATCAAAGTAGCAGATTAATCAGTAGAAAAAACCCTGTAGTCCACTATTTTAGTTTTTGCTTCTTTCAGTCATTCTTCAGTCAAAATTAAGTGAGTCTATGCACTCTCCTTATGTGCTTAAACAAATGTGAAGAATATAAGCATTTCATTTTGTGACAAATACTGATATATATTGTGTGATTGGCCTGTTACACAGAGCCTAATTCTATGACTGTGCTTCAACACTGTGTTTTGTGTAACCAGTCAGTCACCTTCTGCAGTTTACTTATTTTAAAAATTATCCCACCTTTCTCCTTAAAAAGGTGGGCTTTGCCTGTGTGTTTTCTTCTTTAGTTAGCAAATTTCTTGGACTTGTAAGGTTCATTAAAATGCTACAAACACATCATTTTATGTCAATTGAATGTTTGTGAATGCAAACATTCACTACTGTGGAGATGCATATTTTTAGCTAGAGATGCGAGGCAATTATTCTTTTGCCTGGAATTTGTAAAGGTCCTATGCATATTGAAGGTTCTTGCCACTTGGTAGAAGATGAGGCCTCTGTATTTCTGTGGTCATGCCTAGGATTTGTTGTTGTTGTTTAGTCATGTCCAATATGCTTAGGATAGTGATTCACAATCATTGCACCATAATAGCTTCAGCCTATATATAGAACACAATTTTTAACTCAACCAAGGAAAGTCCTGAGTGATTGCCAATTCATTTTTGTTGTTGCTGCTCACAGTGTTGCCCTGCCAAGCTGCTCTTTGGTTTGGGTTTCTTAGTTTGGATGTTCTGTATTGACAGTTAAAAGGTTGTCCACGAGACCCAGGTGTGCTTGCTGCATGACCTGCTGATTCAATGTACAGTGGTGCCTCGCATAGCGATGTTAATTCGTTCCAAAAAAAACATCGCTATGTGAAACCATCGCTATGCGAAACACCATTTCCCATAGGAATGCATTGGAAACCGGTTAATCCGTTCCAATTGGAACGGATTGCCGTCGTTAAGCGAAAAAACCCATAGGAAACATCGCTAAGCGAAACAATGTTTCCTCCATTGGAATGTATTGAAGCTGACTCAATGCATTTCAATGGCTTTGCGAAGTCAATTTTTGCAATTTTAAATGTGTTATACAAGGGGCAAAAATGGTTTTAAATGCTTGGAATAGCTTCTGCACCTTCTAAAACGGGTGCAAATGTAATTTGGCTTAGATCTGACTTTTCGTTAATTTAGGGTGAATTTTTCCCCCCAACTTTTGACAGCTGTCAAAATCTGACAGCTCCATTATTTCCTATGGGGGAAGAAAAAATTCACAAAA